CCTGTTCCCTCCACCTCTACCTCCTAAGTGCTGTCAACTGCAATCTTTTACCTAGTTGTCTCAAGGTGTCCATGGAGTATTCCAGATGGCTGGTTCAGGCATGAAGGTAGTTCAGTTAGCTATATAACTGATAGTCTTTGTCTAAAGTAACATGGGCAACAGAGAGGTCAATACTTCTAATTAGGAAGTGAAGTCTTCCCTCCCCCCACCCCTGGTGTGTTTATCACAGGAATATAAACAACAGAAGTCCTTACAAACATAAACAGCATATCATAAACACAGAAATTTAACAGTGCTTAATACTTGCCAAAGGCACAGGAAGAGATAGGATCCTCTGGTTGTTTTAGGAGTGGAGCTTGGAGAAGACTTTCTGATCTTCATTCTTGAGTTAAAGAATCATGTCCAACTTTTTTTCAACTATGTATTTCTGAAATATAGGAAGAGATGTATGCTTGCAGATTTTTAAGACTTAGACTTTTTAAAACATTTTGTGATGTGGTTTCACTCTACAACCCAGGCTGATCACGAATTCATTATCATCCAGCCTCAGCCTCACACGTGCTGAGATCATAGACATGTCCAGTACCGGCCTGGAGCTCTGTGTGGAGCAGGCCATGCTTGAGCCCTCAGCTCCAGCTGCCTCTGCATCCCAATGTACCAGCACACCCACCACTGACTACATTGTTTAAATGCAGAAAAATATATAAAGGCAAAAAAAATGAAAATTACCTTTTGTGATAGTTTATGTGAGAATGGCCTCCATAAGCTCGTATATTTGAGTGATTGGTCCCCAGTTGGTGGAACTGTTTGGGAAAGATTAGGAGATGTGGCCTTGTTGGAGGACATGTGTCACTGAGGATGGGTTTTGGATTCTCAAAAGTCCAGTGCATTTCCATTTAACCCCCCCCACACACACACTCTATGTCTCATAGTTATAGATCAGATATAAGCCTCAGCTCCAGCCCCAGTGCCATTCCTGCCTGCCTGCTGCCATGCCCCCCACTATGCCAGTCATGGACTTATTCTCTGAAACTATAAGTAAGCTCCCCATAAAATGCTTTCTTTTATAAGTAGCCTTGGTTATGGTGTCTCTTCATAGCAATAGAAAAGTAACTCAGACATTTTTTAATCTTACCACCCAGAGATAATTATCAATATATTATTTGTGTGTGTGTGTGTGTGTGTGTGTGTGTGTGTGTGTGTGTGTGTGTGTTCTTTACCAAATAGCAATTGTCCTATTGGGAATAGTTTGCAGCCTATTTTGTTAACCTAATATTTCTTATATTACTCAATATCTAACCTAGTTGTTTAGTTGTTGCTCTGACAAAAATCAACTTAAAGGAGAGTTTATTTGGCTCAGTTGGAGGTACAATCTATCATGGTGGGGAATTTGAGGTAGCAGGAGCTTGGAGCATTTGGTCACACTACATCCATAGTCAGGAAGAAGCAGTGAATGTTTGTGCTCATTGTACTTTCATTTTTTTATATAACCCAGAATCCCATCCCAGGGAATGGAGCTGCGCATAGTTGGCAGGTCTTTCCACAGCCATGCCCAGAGGCCTGCCTTCCAGGTGACTCTAAACCTTAAATTGGCAGTTTTTATTAACCATCATGTCTTAATCCCTTAGGCAACTAACTCTTGATTTAGGGATATTTATACTACCTTTGCTTTTTCTTAATAATGCTATGATGAGCATTTCTGTAAGCATATGTGGGTTTTTTTTTTTCTTACAACAAATTCTTACAGTTGAACTCCTAAACTTAATGCAAATTCCTAAAGCTTTCTTATTTTACCTTTTTCTTTTAGTGCTAGGGAAAATTATCACAAGGTAAAAAGGATGTTTTGCTTTTTACAGAATGGTCAATGGCTCATTGATCACTTAAAATCTGTCCTTTGTGACTCCTGGCAACCTCTCTTCTGAACTTGGTTCCCATGAGTTAACTGCTTTCGATTTATATTTGCCCTCTGAGCCTCGCTTCCTTCACTTAGAATAATGTCCAAATTCTCCCACATTATCCCAAAAAAGGGTAGGATTTTCTGCCTTTTAAGGGCCTATTTTACAAATCAAAAAACTATAATCCAGAGAAACCAAATAACTTCCCAAAAGTCACAGTTAATTGTCATTGGTGCTAAGATAGAGCCTATCTATGAACTCTAGTGACTTACCTGAAAGTGATGGATTTTGGTAAAAAACGGTTTTTATTGGCTTCTACTCTCCACCATCAAATGATTTATAATGGTCACTTCTATCTTTTTAAATAATTAAATTGTGGGTAGGGATATAGACGTGTGTGTACCAGTGATATGACTTGTGTGTGGAGGTCAGAGGACTTGTAGGAGTTGGATCTTTCCTTCTACCTTGTGGGATCCAGGGATTGAACTCAAGTCAATCAGTCTTGTGCAATGGGCACGTTATTCACTGAGCCATCCTGCCAGTGCTACATACCTATAGTTACACAGGGAATTTGAATTTATTTCAAAAGCTTGAAGTAAAATTGTGATTCACTTAATTTCAAGAATGTGTGTGTGTGTGTGTGTGTGTGTGTGTGTGTGTGTGTGTGTGTTTACAAAGGTCAGATGACAGCTTTTGGGAGTCTGTTCTCTCCTTCTGCCATGTGGGGCCCAGGGTCAGATCTCAGGTCATCAGCTTGGGCAGCAGGCACATTTAGCCACTGAGCCATCTTATCAGCCCAAGACTAACTTTTTTATACTGTTTTCAAAAGTTCTGTCATTGTGGTCAAAGTAGTTGCACAGATTCTTTTGTGGAAACTAAAAACCTGTTTCTGACTTAGAACATCAGGTACTGGATGTTCTCTACTGAAGTGAGCCTTATAACAGCATTCCTGTTTTGAGGGGGAAGTCCTTTCTATGACACAAAAGACTAAAACCAGTGTTAAAACCCATGGCAGCGAGGCATGGCAGTGCACACCCATAATCTCAGCACTTCGGAAGTAGAGCCGAGAGGGTGGCAGGATTAAAAGACTGGGAAAATTATTCAAGAGTCTGGCTGAAGTCTCTTGCTTGCTGAGAATCTCAAGACAATGGACAATCACTTCAGGCCTTTCTCCCTTCCTAGCAATAAACCTGAAGTTTTTAGGAATCTCATTAGAAACCCCCTTTGAGGTAAGAGATGTGATAACTCCTTTGTGCAATCAGAATGGATGCTGGGGATTGTAATTCCAGCAAACGTACCTCCAAAGCGACCTTATACTCATATTTATCAAAAAGGAGGACAAAAGTCAATTTTCTTAGCAATCTTTGGAGATGTCACTTGAAGCCACCCAAACAGTATACATGGCTAGTACTAAGACACAGAAGAACAACTTTCTTTGAGAAGTCCATACCATGCTCTGGGGTGTGCCTTCTGTTTTTTCAGTGGTATGGATTCTGCTGTCTTCTTGGCGGCTTACTGCTTTGATGTTTAGTTTATGGACCTTTAATTACAGCTAACATTTATTGAAGGCTCATGAATTTCCACCTGCCGTGTTCAGAGTTTCCTGCATATTATCAAAAACAGTTCTAAGGATAGATAGGTGTGGATCAAGTTTTATTGGAATGGGAACTTACGAAGTATTAAGGAATTTTTTTAGAAAAATGTAAAATTAGGAACAGAAAATTAAGTATGATAGTCAATGTTGATTTGGGATGGGAAATTATAACCAATTAAGATACCTGCCTGGCCAGGCGTTGGTGGCGCACTCGTTTAATCCCAGCACTCGGGAGGCAGAGGCAGGCCGATCTCTGTGAGTTCGAGGCCAGCCTGGTCTCCAGAGCGAGTGCCAGGATAGGCTCCAAAGCTACACAGAGAAACCCTGTCTCGAAAAACCAAAATAAAAAATAAAAAATAAAAACCTGTCAGGCATTTAGAAGATATACTGATTGTAACCTTCCCATATAGAAAACACAACCCCCAATGGCCTCTGCAAATCTAGGAAGGCTCCTTAAGCGCTCCATAGCGTGGAGTGGAGGGAAGGGCAGGCATGAGCACTACCTCTCCTTACATGAGAAAACCTTGGTAGAGCAAGTCTCTCAACCCTGGGAAATCAGAATCTTACTAGTACATGGGTAGGAGCTGTAGAGATGGCTCAGTGGTTAAGAGCCCTGACTGCTCTTCCAGAGGACACCCACACGGTAGCCAACAACTGTAACTCCAAGATCTGATGCCCTCACACGGGTATACATGCAGGCAAGACACCTATGTCCATAAAATAAGAATTTTTTTTTAAAGTACACAGGTGCACAGAGCGGTCTCCGCTGCCATACTCCGTTCCATTAATACTCCTGACCGTGCACGGATTTATTTAAGGATGGCGGGGTGAGGGAGCTAAAGTAACAGGAGTTGAAGCCGTGCCGGAACAAGGTGCGTGGCTGTAGTGCCGAAACACGCCTTGGGGCGGCATTTGTAAACTGAGGCAGGAAGGTGAGGGTGTTGGTTGGATCCTAGGTCCTTTTACTTAAAAAGCTCAGCTACGTGCTAGATGTGCTCCGGGTTCCCGCAACTACAGCAGGGTAACTGGAGGCCGACTGGAGCTGTAAGGAGAATGGGAGCCGAGGAGGGGCGGTGGAGGCCGTGGTGGCCGACCTAAGAGAAAGTGGAAGGTGGCTGAGAACGCTTCCAAAGCTTCTTGAAGATTCTCGCGCCGCGGCGCCGGAATCGGAGCTTCCCGGCCCGTCCCGCGTCCACTCAGCCAACGTCTGCGCTCGTGCAACGGC